AGCTGCAGCCGCCTTGTTCGATGGATCTTGACTCTGGGCGTCCCCTTCCTTCCGGTTCTTAGGGCACAAAGCCGACCCATGGCCATACATACCGCAGGTGAAACAAATATCCGGGAGGCTTTCGTACTCTACTCGTTGGGGCCTGTCTCCAATCAAAAAGTCAGAACACAGTGGTTGGGACAAGTCCAAAAGACACGCCAACCGGGCGTATTTTCCTCGAAGGCGGGACGCTGTTTGATAGTCAATTTTCACCACCTTACCAACGATTTTCCCTATAGCGCGGAAGACCTCGTTATTGTAGAATTGAACAGGGAGACCCGGTAATCGAATCCACGCAACCACTGATTGGGTACGAATGTTGGTCGCGTCGAAATTCGCTGACCACGGCTGGACATGGAGGTAATGATTAGCAATCACCCAAGGGCCATCCGTAAGGGCCCGTAGGTGATCCTCAGGCGAGCCAAATCGGATAACGTAATAACCGTTTTCCAAATCCATCAGTGGGCTATCTCGCATCGAAGGCCAGAGGTCCGATAGTCTCTTGTGCATCATCACAGGGGAGAGGGAGTGGCCGAGGAGGCGCACTACCACGGCATGCTGCCACTCGTGCAGAAGAGAATCCCAAAAAGGATCGGAGAAGAGAATCGTCCCTGAGCGGCCATTCATAACAACCGTGATACCATCAGTTGCCGGTTCCTCATCGGCCATTGGGGTTAAGGTCACATGCGGGCGGTTCTTAGACAGTAGGTCTCTGAAACTCAATTTGGGCTGAGCCAGAGGAGCGACGGTTTCAGGAGGCGGCTGGCCCGAACCGTCCCCTGTTCCTTCAAAAACGCCTGATGCGCGCCGCTTCTTGGATGTCCCGGAGAGGTTCTGGTGCAGTCCATATGCCTCAAAAGGTCGGGGAGATTCGTCCCGTCGCAAATCCGGCGGGTCCAGCCGGGGATCAGTCGGAGTTTTCACGATCGTCGCAGAGGGGTTCATCTAGGGTTTTGAGGAAATTTTATTTGCTATGATTTAAGATTTGAATAAATTTGACTACTAAAATTAGTTGTTTACATGTTTGATAAATAGTCAAGTTTATAACTATTTTAAAAATTTAATGTTACTATGTTATGCGATGGTATAATAATATTGTGTATTTTTTGTTTTTTTTATGTGATAACTTATTTGATGGTTGTATGTTATTATAACATAGCCCGTTGATGGCTAATTATAAAAACTAATAATAATAAGAGAGAAGAAAAAATAAAAATAATAAAGAATAATAATATGTATGCATATGATAGAACTTAGGTGGCATTATATTTATTCATTTATCACGGGTGTTTTGTAGATTTGTAAAAATACTAATACATGCACATGGCATTAAAAACTTAAAGTCTAATTGAATATTATGAATAAGTGTGATATGATAATATACTCATAGAAAGATTCTACGGTTCTGTTACGGGATCATTTTATCGGAATTTCTAACCGCTAAATCAACTATTTCTGACGGTTACTGGATGATCTAACGGTTACAAACCCAACGAGACGGTAACATTTCCCTATAACATATATTAATAATAAATATTATAATTCCTAAATTGAAATCTATACTTATATAAAAAGCCAACATATTTATTAAAATTAGTAACAAAAAAATAGATCAGCATTTAATGCAACCCATAAATAGTAGTTTTGTTATTTTTCTTGTTTTTTCTTTAAAAATCATATAGTTTAATTTTATAAATACGCATTAATATAATCATACAATTTAATTTATAAAAATTATACAATTTAATACTTTTTTTAAAAAATATGCATTAATATATATATATATATATATATATATATATATATATATATATATATATATGGTACCTTTTGTAATAAATTTGAATAAAATGTGTTACTTAAAAATCTAAACAATTTAAAAATTCAAATGTTTAAATTAATTGATAAACAATTTATAAATCTCTATTTTATTTAAAATAATTTTAAATATAGCAAAAATTTATTTAGAAAATCGTATCGATCCTACCAGTTCAACCGACTGGTGTTGACGAATTCAATAGCAAATATTTTATTCAAGTGAACTAGACTGATTATAAATTGGTTCTCGGTCCATCCGGTCAGACTGTATCCAACACGGTTTAATTTTAAAACGATGGGCATATCTTGATTAATTTATTTATATATTTAATTTATAACACAAACGTAATAATCTTTTCCCGTGCATTGCACGGGCACACACTAGAATTTCAAAATGGTCAAAGTATGCAATTTCAAAATGATTTTTTCCAACATTTATTTACAGGTACAAAATATCAAGTTGCACCAAATGATGCCTTTGGAGAGGGGAAAAAAGA